TTCACAGACAGATTTCTTCATTACATGGATGGCGCACTCAACTTGTATCATCTTTAACAGCTTTAAATGGTAGTTTTGTTTAGGTCAATATTTCTTATGGGTATACAACATGTTAAACATGTGTAACAAAAGATTAAGTTATATTCTGACCCTTATTTCGTTTAACAATATTGCATACAGCACCTTCCCCCCCCAGGTGGTGAGTTTTTGATTTTTTTTTTTGCGAAAATTAAATTTCCACGACCTCTTTTACACGATTACCAAGTATGATGGCATTTGGTCCAATAGTTTTCCTTTTATGATAATTTCAAATTGGATCATTAATTACAACCACCCCGTATAATAAATACAGTTTTTCTATGATAAGCCATTATTCTTTTTCTTTTGCAAAAATCACCAAAGGAATTGAAATGCAAGACATAATTTTAAATAATTAAAAGAAAAAAAAAAAATTCCCCTTCAACATAACTGATAAGACATGACTTGAAAACTGAATTATTGGAGAATGGGTGCAATTTTCTAATTGATAAAATAATGAAACAGAATGATGACAAGGTGTTCATGATTATTTCTAATAATTAAAAAACTTTTTGGATAGTAAATTGAAAAATTAAAGATTTTTAATTATGGACCAAAAAATCTGTATTGATGTAATTTAAGTTTCTGAAAAAGCGAAGATTTTGAACAACACACTTTGAGAGCAAGATTTACATAATACAGTCAAAAGTCGTTAATTCGGACACCCATAATTCGGAATGATCTATAATCCGGACCTCAAATCTAAAAATTTTCTGCGCATGCGCCGCGTTGACACATGCGCATAGGCGTTTGCGCGTGCGCGTAAGACCTTTTACGACTGCGCATATGAGTGTGCACAAGTGCAGAATACGTTTTCGTGTGCGCGTTTTATGTATAATGGACGTATAAGCTAAAATTATCTAATTATCTATTTCAGTTAATGTTGATGATTGCGTTGTTCCTTAATTTTTCGAATTGGATCCGGCTTAATTATTTTTTGGCAGACTGTAAGAGCAATTTTAAAAAGTAAGCTTAAACTTTCGATTATATCAAATAGAATTTCCGATATATTTTGTTAATATGTAAAGGATCTAAAGCGAAAGTAATGTTTTGAAATCCGAAATCTGTTTATCATTTCACGCTGCTCGCGGGGGGAACGCCGCCGTAATGAATTGGAAGTTGATCTGTCAACACTATCCTTATCTTCAGCGCAGATGTTTTTATTTTATTTGGCTTATAATTTCTTTACCAAATGTAGTATTTCATCTCGATATGCTCCCGTCTTTGATATGATTTAAAACAAATTCCTCGTCATTATAATTCGCTTTCCGATAGCGAAGAAAAGTGACAGAGGTTATTGAAAACGAAAAATTTCGATTGACAAATTAGTCAGTGTTCTCGACACAGCAATTATAGGACTTGAACAGCGGAACTTTGTAACGGAACAAATAAATTATGTCTGTTTTAATAGAATTAAAGAGAAAGTATTATCACATGAAACGAAGCAAAACTTAAACAACTTACATTGAAAGAAATGTTTAATAAAAGTAAACAAAAATATTAAGCTTTTTCTTTTTGCAAATTTTGATACCCTTTAGATCATAATTGTTCTTTATTTTCATAATTACGGTTTCATATTTTTAATTTTAGAATTTCTGCATGCCATTTTACGAGATTTAAACTGATGATCTATTATCCGGAAAAATCAATAATCCGGAATCGCCGAAGTCCCGACGAGTCCGGATTAACGACTTTTGACTGTAGTACAAATGAGACAATTTTTGGGGTAGAGTAGACTTTAAGGTACCCCTTGTATTATGGCAAAATTGTTGTTTGATTTATCGCCAAGTTGTTGCTTCACTTATGGTAGCCTGAGTAGTTGAACGTTATGGAAACCCTATTGTGGCGTAATCGGGTGCAGGATTCTGGGAAATTTTGAATCGTGGGACGTTCTGTAAGCGTTTTCGTGGTGTGTGTTGGTTTGATTCTTTAGACGGTAGAATGGCCGAATATAGTAAGATTAATTTGAAGTTTCTGTATCATTTGGAGCGAAAGGGGAAAAGAGCTTTAATTGACTGGTGTGTAAATGAAGGTTTACTTAGTAGTCATTATAAGTGTCCTGTATGTAGGAAGGATATGCGTTTAGTCGAACGTAAAAACCGTTTAGACGGATTTGTAAGAAGAAAGGTTCAGATGGTCACTATGCGAAGCGTTCGATCAGAAAGAGTACCTGGTTTGAAAAAAGTCATTTGAGTATGATGATATTTTGATTTTTACATTGCTCTGGGTATATGAAGCGAACTCGAAAATCATGGTAAGTGAATATTTGCTTTTGGTAGTGTTTCAATGTATAACATGTTTTCCTTTTTTATGTTATTTTATTGTTTGGTTTAAAATGTATTTTATTGAGATTATGGATTTTTTGTTTGCCTATATTGTAGAACTTGGTGCTCCTTTGACTTTTTAAGTGAAAATATATCGATGTGTACATGGACAAAGTAAAAGGAGTGCGCAATGCAAGTTTGTGCAATTCTGGGATTTTTTTTTAAGTGAAAATAGGTCGACGCGTACATGGATAAAGTTAAAAGAGTGCGCATTGCCATTTTTGTGCAATTCGGGGATTTTTTTTAAGTGAACATAAGTTGATGTGTACATGGATACTGAGTTTGTGCAATTGTTTGTCTTGTTATTTTGGCTCTGTGTAGCAGCTATTTTTGGCGCAAAAATCGCCGCTTCTCAAGCCAAAATAACGAGTCAAAGAATTGCACAAAATCAGTATCATGTACCGCCAAAAATCGCCAAGGGGTACCCTAAACTATACTTTTAACAATTTTTTTTTGCAAGGTGATATAATCGACACAAGAAGACAATCAAAACGTGATGTGATAAATAGTAATTTGATTTCGGAAGTACTAAACTGTAACATTTCCCGCGATCAGATAGAAGTGACACACACCAGTTTAAAATTTAAAATCAGGCAAATAAGCAATCTTAGTTTATCATAAATTTAAAATAAAACTCTATTGATTTTGAAGGCAATCAAAAATAAGATACTCTTTTTAAGGAAGGAATTATACTTATTAAAAATTTTTTATCAGGAAAAGAATTATTAGTACTGGTCATGGCCATATTCACACATAACACAACTTGTATTTCACACTGCTAACATAAGATGTATTCAGATGTACACTCCTGTCCATAAATTAAGGATAATGCAAAATCAGGCAAAGCAAGAGTTAGAAGCAAAACAAATTTGACTTATTTGTAAAGCTTATTTATTAAACAAAAGGTAAAGAGCAAAAAAAGATGCTATATGCTTGATAATTATTAAAAAAATTAGCGATTTTTTCTGCCTGGAGCAAATTACAAAAAAAAAAAAAAAACCTATTTACAAAAAACCAATATTACATGGTTGGTATGATTGTTAATACATTGTATGTCTCCCAGACAATGCAATACAGTCCGTACAACGCCTAGGCATGCTGAGAATCAAATTATCGATCTGATCTTGGGGGATATTACACCACTCAAAAAGTAATGCTCTCCAAAGTTCCGGTAGACATGTAGGAGGAGGTTGACGAGCTGCAACTCGTCGGCCAAACATGTCCCACACATGCTGTACTGGATTCAAGTCCGGTGAGAATGCTGGCCAGTCCACACGGGTGATATCCTCCGATTGAAGGCATTCGCTTACAATGTTTGCACGGTGAGGACGGGAGTTGTCATCCATAAACACAAATTGTGTGCCCACGGTGCCCCGAAATAAACGTACATGTTGTTCCACAATGACGTCCCAATAGATTTGGCTTGTCATGGTTCCAATTTGAACATGCAGGTCAGTTCTGGAACCCAGAATAATTCCACCCCAAACGAGTACTCCTGCACCACCGTAACGGTGTTGTTCAATGATGTTTTCCTGTTGGTAACGGGTACCTGGAGCTCTCCATATGAAAATCCGGCGAGAATCAGACTGCAAGCTAAACCTGGACTCGTTGGAAAACATCACACAAGCCCACTGTTGCGGTATCCACAATGCATGCTCTCTACTCCAGGCGACAGTGAGTTTCAGTAAGTGGAACGCATCTGACAGGTCTACGAGCATATAGACCAATCTGCTCTAAGCGTCTGTTCACGGTCTGCCTTGAAATTGTCGTACCAGTGGCTGAAGAGAGTTGACGAGACAGGTCTGAGGCTGTGCTCCGCCTGTTTCGTTTGGCAGTAACTGCCAAATACCGGTCCTCATTCGAAGTTGTAACTCTAGGGCAACCTGGGCTCTAATGTCTACTCACATTATCATCATCTTGGAATCGTTGCCAAAGCCTGGAGATGACACTCTGGGCAATTCCAAGTTTGTCTGATACTTCCAGTTGGGTACGCCCACATTCCGGACGGCCGATAATTCTACCACGTAAAAAATCATCCATATGCGTCCTTTGTGTCATAACTATTCGGTTATTGCGCTGAAATGCTTATAAAGCACCTGCGAACAATTTTACTTCTTTGCCTGTATTCCTTATATATCACTCTCGTCATTGTGACGTATCATCGGTGTCATCTGGTTACTTCTTGAAATTTGCAAATGATTCTTGAAGATGTGTGTAGTGATTTTACAGGTGATATATTTATTTTAGAGTTCGATTTCCGCGTGACTCCGAATTATCCTTAATTTATGGACATGAGTGTACTTCCGAAAGAATTTTAACTTGCACTACTCTCAGCCCACATAATTCTGTACAATTATTTCACTACAGAGTCATTTGATAAATGGACTTTAACAGTATAAATCCTAAATGTTCTTAATGAGCCAAATGAATGGTAGATTTAAATAACATAAGGAAATAAAAACAAGATATCATTTCATCTCATTAATGCAAGTATAAAGTTAGATTTCATTTGATATGTCACAAAGCTAAATGTCAAAAAAAAAAAAAAGAAAAAAAAAAAGAAAAAAAACACATAACTTAATAAAATTAAATACTAACATTCGGGAAGGAAAGACAGCAATCGTATCTTTACCACTCATGATCAAAACTTATTTCTTATACCCAACTCGCATCAGGTGACTACAGAGCGATATGGTTACAGACAGACAGACAAAGTAGACAGATGTGTTGTTTTGCACCCGCTAAGTCTTTCTGCACCGATCAGTGAAAAAGCATAAGTTCTAACCTCCTTGATTCCAACGCTCTGATACGCCGTCTAGTGGCTAAAAGGTGGAAACCTTAAAACTCGGTATTTACGTTTGACAATGCTACGTAGTTTGTGAAGCGTGTTTGTGATCGAAAAGTAATTAACGTTTTATTTTTTATGTTGTGGGCATATTATAACTTAAAAGAGTACAACCACAACGTTTTATTGTGTACACCAGTGTAAATCACGAGCTTGCAAGGAACCTGAGTTATGCTTCCATCGCATTCTTGGTTCGAAAAATATCGAACGAGATAGCAAAACTTCTAGTACACTATAGCAAAACGAAGACGAGGGTGGATTCGCGTATTTCGAATTGGAAAGAAAGTTGGACATTATATGAACGTGCGTTCTAAGCATTTAAAAAAAAAAACAAAAAAAAAAAAAAAAAAAAAAAAAACTTATTACATTTTTCTCGTAAGAAAAGCTTTTTTTATATATGCAAAATTTTTTTCTCGTGTATCATACATATAAATGTGTATGTGTGTTCTTCGAAAGTAAACATGCATATTTGTGTATTGAAGTAAAGGGGGGCAATTTGTATTGAGGAGAGTAAAAAGGAATTTCGTACATTTTGTACGAGTTCAAAAGGCCAGAAGAAAAGATGGGACAAATAAATTTAAAATAACTATATTTAAAAATACAACGTGAAAGTTTACTACTACATAAAGCATGATTATGGGATCAAAATGAATCGTTGATTATTTAAATTAATGCTTAAATTCTTCAAATTGCTTGAAAGACAGAATATATTTATCTCTCTTACTATGCAGAAAAACCTAAACAATTTATGTTATACTATACTAACCAATTTTTAACACTGGCGCCAACTGATAGATTTGGCGACAATACATCAGAATCATATTACAGCACACGACTTTAATTCACTATTCGTACAGTAAAATTTTTTTAAAAAACGCATATCATAATTCCTAACCGAGACAAAGTTTACATGAAATGTAGGATACAATTTTGCAAACAGTATAAACTATTAGCAATAGCAAAAAACAGCATTGGCGATACTTCACAAACGCACACACATTCCGCAATTGATTTTGTATTTGTAAAATCATTTCAGCGTCAATATGTGACAACTAAATGAAAGTACACATTTGGAAGAAATAAGAAGGGTAATTTTTCTAATATTCTAGGGAAAAATACGAAGCTCCACTTACCTCACAAAAACACGCTCCTGCGACCGGTTCCATTGATCTCAACGAGAAATAATTACCCAATTTCTTCGTCTTTTTTTTATTTTTCGCGAAACAAAACATACTAAACTTATTTCTAGAATGATATGAATAATTTGGTGCAGCACATCTATCCATATTTCTCAAAATTAGGTCGTAAGCGATCACAAATATGTCAACAAAACTATGCTGAACTAATGGCGAGTAGCAACGAAGTCAGAATAATAGAAATACTAAAATAACCTGTTTATGGAATTTACCTTATGAAATTAGCTGCTACACAGCCGGAATGATTGTTACATCCACAGCATTCACCCATTTTATCTCGCTGAGCAGTTTCAATACAATTATAATCAAAACTTTCGTCTTATCCGTACGCCACACCGCAGCCATGATCATCAGTCGTGACGTCACGCTGTGGATACTTCCTTGGCTTCAATTTTGGGAGGTCAAGCTTACTCCATTTATTCTAACCTCCTTGGGCTGAACAGATTTAAGCAGAGATACTGTATACGTTATCTGAGAGGATGTAGCGAAAAATTTTCATCAGATAAAGATGCTGCAGAGGAATTTATTGATGAATGTTTTGTGAAATCTTAGCCTCAGACAGGTTTTTAATATAGACAAGACTGGAAGTTTTTGGCGATGTTTGCGAAGAAAGACATTTGTGATAAGCGATGAAAGTGCACCGTCAGGGATGAAAGAAGATGAAGAGTTACTATTTTAGTATGCAGCAATGCAGCTGGACTTACAAATGTAAACCAGTGGTAGTGGGTAAGAGCACTAATCTTAGAGTTCTGAAATGAGTAAAATCCTTACCTTTGATTTTACAGGAATAAAAATTTCCTGCTTCACGAAACAATTTATTATCGAATGGTTCATGAAGCGTTTCATTAAAGAGGCTAGAAGGCTTAACAGTGGTTACCATCAAATTGCAAAATTTTACTATTCTTGGGCAACTGCTCTGCACATCCAGATGCAAACACCTTAACATGTGATAGTGCCGTGGGCCTCCCCCCCCAAATTCTACATCATTGATGCAACCAATAGACCAAGGCATGATACACAGTCTTAAATGACACTATAAATCAGAGTTTCGGTAAAAAATTCTATCAAGTGACCATTCTATTTCACTTTGTGATTGATGTGTGATGAAAATTCACAATCAAAGACTGCATTTACTCGTTTAGAATCCTGTTTCCCAAACAACATCAGTAAATGCCTGGGGTAATGCACGGCCATCTTCTCTGCTTATTGAAACTGAGAGTGATGACAATGAATTTTGTGGTTTTAGGATTAGTGCAGCAAGAGAATTGCTTTTATATTTGAAAGAAAGAATAAATGAGGAGTCTCTGTAAAAAGAAGATATCGTTGAATGGATTATGCGTTCAGATGAGCCAACACTGGCATATCAGATAACGATGATGAAATCATTGGCTCTGTTTTGAACTCGCTACAGCAAGAAAACGATTCCGACACCGACATAGATCGTGAACTTGATAGGAGAAAATATCTTTTAATGAGATTTTGGAACATGTGTCACAGAGCAAGAGATTATGATTCGGTATAATTCACACAAAAAAAAAACTTACTCTGGAGCACCCAAAAGTTCTAAAACAAACCTCTACCAGAAAAATGTTTGAAACATGTAAAATAACATTATATACGTAGGTTGGGGCCAAAGTCATGGCAACTATTTTTTTTCTTGAAGATACCAGTCCGGTTGGAAAATGTGACATATACAGATGAAAGGACAAGGTCTTAACTACATGTGTGGACAATGAATAGCACTGAAATATCGTAACACACGAATTTATTACAGTAGTATGCAGGGCAATATGGCCTTCACCGTGCAAAAGAATGATAACACAATATAAATAAGTTGACATGAGTCCCTGGTAGTACCGTGCGGTCACTGTTCTGCCATGAGGAACAAAATGGCAAACAATTACACACCTGACGTCATATGCAACGATCACCATCAATCTGACTGGGAAAGGATGCTGACGGACCTTCTGCTGCCTTGGTGATCCAGTATGTGGCCACTCCGCGGACTGACATTTCAGTCTGGTTTGTATACCCTGGCCCAAAATTCATCGATGGCGATTATTCGTGAAAAGAATTGATCGCCGTCCTGTTGACAGCGTGCAAAGTGGTCGGAGCATATTGCATAGCACACCCACCTTTGAACTTCCGTCAGTGCATGCGGTACCCACCGCGAAGCGAAACACTCACCAGTCGTCCCGAAAGTTCCTCATCACTGGTTTACACACGTCCTCGCTGAAACTTTCTTACCGTGCTACTGTACGATATGGTAGGGCATTATTTCCAAGGGCTTCTACTAATTCAATGTGACATTCCATCGCATTTCTCCCTCGGAGAACGGCTATTTTGATGCAAGCGCGCTGCTCAACACTGGTTATTTCCATCTCGCACGACACTCACCAACTGACTGATTTCAGAGCCCTCGCTACCACACAGCCAACTATCAGAGAGCCATCTGTTGTTCTATGCCTACAGAACTTCCACATAACACATATATGTTTTGTGATCCGTTCACATACCTACAAGAAAAAAATAGTTGCCATGACTTCTGCCCCAACCCTCGTATTTTATGCTTTATTTAATACCTCTTATTTTTATATGTCTTTATTGTATACATCCTTAAGGCTTTTAAATATCCCTGTAATCACTAATATAATATATATGTATATATAATAATAATAATTTAATATAATGTACCTAATATGCCTTATTTGTTTTGTTCTTATAGTCTGAAAATTATGATTTATCTTTTCTGTCCTGATATCCGCAAAATTCAAAAATCCGCACAACCTCTGATCCCAAGCATTGCCGATTTCTGGACTTCTACTGTAGTCATATCCAGCTTTCTCTGTCTAATTAATAGGACTACTTCTGAATTAACGACATTAATTTTTATTTTCCACTTCTGAAGACAGGACTGCAGCCCATGGAAATGTTCTTGGAAATGAGTGACCGACTGAACTCATAGATGCATTTTGTGAACTGACTGTTGTATCATCCACACATGTGGCAAATGTAGCGTCAATATTATGTGGTACATCTTTCGCATAAATGAGGAACAGAGCATGATGCAATAGAGAACCTTGTGGTACGCCAGCAAGGATTTGCCCGCATGTGGGGTAATTATTGTTATATGGGTTGACAAAGTTTCTGTCATTAAGGTAGGAAATGATAATATGATCATCTCATCATTTCCTACATTTGTAGGGAAGCTCTTCCAATTATATGCGGTTTAAAGTTTTTGAGATATCGAGAAAAAGCACTTTTTGTGATCCAACAGGCCTTGTGAAGTTTTTTCGGTCACTCTGAACAGTTGGTAGATCGCAGAATATTTTCGTCCAAAACCATGCTGTTGGGGAATGAGTATTTTATTTTTTTGGTGACGCACTTGATCATCTGTAGAATAACTAACTCATCAATTTTACTGACAGCGGAGAACAGACAGAACGGTCGGTATACAATGTGTCACATGACTTTTTTCCGGACTACAGGATCGATGAAATGATCGCTGTCTTCCAGTGGGTCGAAAAATGCTGCAGTTGTAAGTTGTAATTTTTTTTTATTTTGGTTAACTTGAAAAGCATCTTCGTACCCATTTTCTTGCTAATGTAGTCTAATCCTAGCTTTTACGTTTCTCGATATATCTTAGTACCTCTGACGACATAACTGGGGGAGTATCGTTTACGCTTTATTGTGTGAAGAACTGTGTAA